CAAGCTTTCCAATTTGTTCTCTATTTCAGCAGAATAATCTGACAGGGCAGACACGGCTGTGAACGTATTCGCCTTCATTTGATTAACTTTAGACTTTAAATCATCATACAGTTCCAATACAAATTCCTTAATTTCTTGTTTAAAATCATTAAACATTTTAAAGAGATATTCCTGTGTTAAAAATTCTCCAGTAGAAGGCATAGGAGACAAAGGCTGTGGTTCCAGTAAAAATTCTTTAAATTCTTTAGACACATTTGTAGCAAGACGCTTCTTTGACCTGGGTGCCATAATAAATAAACAAGTAAGCAGCGCTTCGCTCCCCTCTATTTCCAAAGAAGAAGAGTTTATTTTGTTAAGGAGCGGTCTGCAGGAAGATAAAACCGGCTAAGTACATCCAGTATCAATCATCCACGGAGAGAAATCGCCATTTTGAAGTCCATTTAGACAAAGAACAAAGAAGTCTCTAAGACAAATGGTGCTGGTATTTAAGATAGTAATAAAAGCATAAATCTCACAGGAGTGGGACCCGCCCGTATCAATTCTAGCTTGAAAAAACTTTGTTTTGTCCTGGGGGGGGGGCTAGCCTGTCTGGGGCTGCCAAAAAAAAAAGGCAGCTGAGAAGAACTGGCTGGAGATAAAAGCTCCGCTCCGGCTGGATCTAATCTCTATCCACAGCCAAAAAAAGAAAAAGGCTGTGGTTTACGAATAGACCCTTGCCTACAGAGCTACTCCCTGCCCCTTTCTTAGCCAAAAAGGGGAGATATCTATGATCTTATTTAGATATACAGACCAGATCTCTGAGGAGCTCGGTGGAGCCCTCCTCGGCAACAGGCCACGCCCCCAGGAAGTCTTTCTTTTCTTATAGTAAATACCCTGTATATAAGTGATTGCAAATGGAATGTGAAAAAATGAATAAAATATATTTTCGAAAAAAACCATGTCAACCTCACTAAGATTTCTAAATAACACATGCAGGATACTAACATAGATTTCTATAGCAATACCTGAACTCGCTTCAAGTTTCTTCCAAGGCTGAAAAACTGTGCTCCCTTAACTATATGTGTTAGATCACATTTATCTTGTAGACATAAAGTTTTTTTTAAAAAAAAATCATAATTTTTTTTAAACTGTGATTCTCTCTCTGTGAGGAACTTAACTTCCAAAGCCACCTTACATGCTCCAGCAATAGCAAATTCTTCCACAAAGAAGCTTTTCCTTCACCCATAATTCCTGGAATCTCTCTCTCACTAGGTTGGGTGATTGTCACACTGACATTCCAGGAAATGATGCTGAAGGGAAAGCCTAAAACAAATAGCATGAAACAAATGAATCACATAAAACAAATGAAGTAAACTGAATACACCAAAGAATATGGCATTATGACATAGACTGACTTGACGAAATGCTACATAATATCGAAGGACAGCATTGTGACCTGGCAAGTAATGTCCCCGGAAAGTAAGCACATCCTTGGTAGACAGCTGCTGCTTTGCCAGTAGCCATGACCAGTGGGACAATTGTCATCTGAAACAGTTGTAATTACAACTATAATGAGAGAAATGAAACCTTAGAAGTTTACAACAACTGGAAGGGAAGCAGCTAGATATATAGCAGAATTTTGTCACCGAATTCATAGTGGGAAAACCTAGAAGGTTCTGTTTAAATTAAATTCATGGCCAAACACTAGCTTTCTCAAGGAGAAAAAAATGTCAGCATAAAGTAATAGATTGCACTTATATTTTCTTTCTAGAAAGTATCTGAGAGATATCCTCCTTCTTATCTTTTAAAATACTCAGTATGTCAATAAAATAAAAGTGTTACTACCTTGGGAAATTGAAATTTTAGTTCCTAATATCAGCAAGAAGCATTCATTTCAAAAATAAATATAGTGAAATGAAAATAACATTTTAGAGCAGGGCTGTCAAACTCCTGGCCCGCGGGCTGGTCATGCCCACGTCCGCTTTAGCAAATGGACGGAAAGTCCTGATATGTCACATGACACTATTGTGATAACGTGAGTTTGATAACCCGGTTTTAGTGGATTTTTTAAAAGTAATTAATGTGTTTCTGTAACAATCAGTGATCAGTGGCAGCACATTACATAGATGCAGTTATGTGATCCTTCCGTTTTAAAAAATGCAGGTCTATCATATACTGGAATGCAGCAGAGCTTGATTTAGAAAACTGAACATACTGTGCTATACCAAAGAAATGAAGGGTATCTTAAGAGTTCATGGCCTGGTTATTTGTTTAAGTCATTGAAAACTAGACTTAGTCTTTGGTAGAGGCATCTGCAGCACTTTGATATCTCCTTACAAGTTAAACTTAACCCTGGCTTCAGAATGGCTAATAAATCCTTTGAGCAGAAAAGCCTCTAGTAAATTAGATGTCTATTGAAACAGTTTTAAAACATGAAGAATGAACAACTGAATCTAATGTAACACAGATTTCTGTCTGACTCAACAGTTGGCCTTTTTTGGGTCTATGCCACAGCTAGCTCTATATTTGTGGACATTCTTAAAAGAATTAACTGAGATTTTAAAGTTTTATGTTTATCAGCAGTCAAAGGAAACAATGAACTGTTTTTTTGCAATCGAAGAACAGGCAATTTAAAAACTCTAATTAGCCTTTCTTTTTCTTAAAATGCAATGAAATGATTCATAAAATTGTCTATTATTGTCTTGCTGTTGGAGATATACTACATGAATTGGAGCATTATGCTGCTATTGTCATACTTTTATTGGAAATTCCTCAGATTATTAATTATACTTCTTATCTATATCCTTATTATTTGAAATATATCAGGATGTCTGGCAGATAGACAGGATACTGAAAAGATACATTTACAACTGATTTGCAACAGCAGATAGTTGACATGTAATATTCATCAATATTTGAACTGATTCTTTTCTGCTAGAAAAGCAAGAAAGTGAAATTTGGAGAAATCTGGTCAAATTTTGTTGAGTTGTTTGGTATATGATACAAATTTCAGGCTTCCTTTTCTCTTTTCTATTTTTTTAGTTTTTATCATATACTGAGTTTACACTATCATTTTAAAATTCAGATAATATTCATTGTTAGTATCTGTAATAACTAAATATACATTTGCCATTTGTATTTTAATTAGTGCAATGGAACCATTCTGTTGACATTATTAATAAAGAAAAAAAAAGTAATTCGTATAGCTTACACATTTAAAAGAAACCTATCAATTTGTGGATTTACTGATGTAAATACAAATACTTCTATCATTCCTACCTTATTAATTAACTTATTTTTATCTGTACAGAAAATTGATAATTTCAGTGAATTGGACCAATCAAATATTTATGGGAAAATAATCTCAACTTATTCTTTTTAAAAAATATTTTAACAAAAATCATATTTTTTGAATAAGAGAAGATACAAAGAATTGCATAGATCTGCTTTCCTCAGCTTTCAGGATCAAAAATTAGAGAAAGGAAAAGGCAAAATAAATTTTAGGAATATAACAAATGCAATTGCAGGAAGAAAATGCTTCCAATGCTCTCTGGGAATTTCACAAATGGATGATTTGTGTTAAGATTATATTATTATTAACTCTTGAAGTTGAGTATGACAGATGTCACTGGATAAAAAATAATGATAAGTAAAGGATGGCCTTCATTTTAGATAATGTAATAGCTAAATAAGATGGAGATAGAAGATTATCCTATAGAAGCATACGAGGATTAATGTATGGAGATGTTCTCACAAATTTTATACAGGGTGTGTATTTTTTTAATATGCATACTTAAATCAAGTCCAGAGCTAACTATATTACAAAAAAAGTTAAGATTTTAATTTTTAAATCAATTTAGGGGCCAAATTTGCATTACAACTCTAGAATATCTTTTCTAGCATAGCAGATAGAAATATGATCATGCTCTGTCATGCAAAGAAATAGTGAGCAAAGAAAAGAATGTCCAGTGGAAGAAAATAAACCAGAAAAGACTAATGTGAACAGTAGAACTAAGGGAAACTTAGTAAAGCATCTCTGAAATATAACCCAGAAGGAAGCAGAATAGGGTTTCAAAAGTCTGTTCCAAGAGCAAATTCCACCCAGGATTAACTAGTCCCATTTCATCTGTTATACTGGATCTCACAGTGGCCAACAAGATGTATACGGATGCTCACAAGACTTGACTGTATCAAAA